AAGAACCAGGCAAACAGAACTGAGACGCTCCTCCAAAATTCCTAAACCAACCCAACGTTATTCGTCTTCTTTGGACTACTTGTTGCTGACTGACAATGGTGAACCAAAGTGCTATGATGAAGCAATGCTGGTGGAGTATTCAGTCAAGTGAGAGTGTTCCATGAAAGATGAGATTGACTCACTTATGTCAACAAAGACGGTGACTACGAACAAACTGAAGTTGTATTCAGCTTCAGTTGGCATGCTAGAATAACAAGACCAGAAATGATGCTGCATTGATCGAGGTGTGAAGACAGATTAAAATTAGTCTTCAAGTGGGAGATTGTTAAAAAGTCAATAATTTGCAGCTTTCAATGGTAATATTTTGCTGCAACCACCGTGAATTTGGTGGTTCAAAGTTGGCAGCGAGTTGGTTGAAAGTTGGCAGCTGAAATGGTGGAAAATTGGTAAGGGAAAATTAACAAATTTAGTCCATGTACTTTAGGGTATTTACAAGATTAATCCTTAAGCTTCAACCATAAATACTCTAACTCATTTAGCTTCAAAATCATCCCAAATCATTTCTTTCTCCCAATACTAAAGAGTTTAGAGAGTTTTCTTGTGAGTTGTGAGTGTTTTATAAACACCTGTAAATTTTCTCTCTTTAGTAAAAAGATCTGCAACAGTCTGGAGATGTAAGCATAATTGGTCGAACTCCGTTATCAATTTCGGGTATTATTTTTCGCTTTTATTTCGCATTCTCACTAATCTGGTTATATGGAAATTACTCATTTAATTACCCAACAGTTGCCGAAGAAAAAATTGAGACCCTGATCCCTTTGCTTGATATTGATGGCATGAGCGGCAACATCGTGCTTCAAAATGACATGCTCCAAGTAAAGAAAGTGCGACGGTGCAAAACATGCTGCCGTAGCCGCACAGAAGCCAACCCCTCCCCCGTCCGTCCGGGTTGGCTAGAAACCGAGTACAAGATTGGCACACGTGATCTCGCTGAACATACAGGACGGAATACAATTGCTCTAGAATCACTCCATTAATAACCTCTTTCTGAACTCTCAGCTTCACCTTGATTCTCTTAGAATGAGGCTCGGTCCAAATAAATTTTGCATCCACTAGCCTAACTTCTTTCAAATAAGACTGAAGTCGTTTAACACTATGTCAATAGCTCCTTCGATTCCGGCTGAGCTTTTAACCAAATTCTGGGTGGGCTTCAAGTAGCAAATCGCACTCTGGACAATGCACGATTGAGACATGCTTTCGTACACCTTCGGTAATGTCGACTTCAGACCTCAAACATGTAACGCACATGTTTTCGGGATTTGGCGCCATCAAAATTCCACATTTGCAACACGAGACTGTGCCTTGTGTCTGAGGAACCACGAACATATTTGCAGCCATAGCTACAAGTCCATGAAGAAGAGAACAAAATCAAATGAACCATGGTTCAACATACTATTCAACAAGACACTCCTATTGTTTTAGTGATCACAAACATATTTGCAGCCAGGAAGGAAAAAGAGAGAGCATGTATATATATAAACAGGTCAGAGGAACATAAATTAAAGCAAAACTCGAAATTTAAGGAATATTTAAAAAAAAATCGATGAGACAGTATCAAGCAGGGGAACCGAAAACAGAAAATCAAATATAGCAGAGAGCAAATAATACAAAACGAACCGTAACTCAGAATCTGATAACTCACGTAGAAATCAATCATCAAGTAGAGTTCAGAATTTAAAAAATTACCTGTATTTGATTCGTCGGAAAATCAGGGACTGGAGGAGAAGGAAAAGATTGGCTTGTTCGACGGCGGGAGAAGCGTTTAAGAAGACGAGTGGGTTGAGAGTTTTAAAAGAAAATTTCGTTTAAATATACCAAAGGGAATAAATTAGAGTTTTATTGTGAATAAAACTCGACTGACTGAACTATTTCAGCTTTTAATTTTCGACCTAAAATATCATACTATTTAATGAAATAACTAGGATTGAAAAAATACATATTATAAATTAACGTATAATAATAATAATAATAATAATAATAAGTTTTAAGTTCATTAAGGAGAAGTAAATACATAAATAGTATATATATATATATATTAAAATGTTGCATATATAATTGATGTTATAAAAAAATAAAACTATATCAGATATTATTTAATTTTGTTCGTTGATTAGTTTATATTATTAAATTTTTAATTTTATCAATTATAAATATTAAATTTTAGTTTTATATTTAAACATGTCACTCCTTTATTAAGTTACTAATTAGATAATGACATGATAAATCATTGTTGACACTATTTTTCAAACCAAAATAACGTTATTTTTATAATTATATCCATACTACTTAAAACGTAAAATTATATTCTTACTATTTAAATCACAAGGCAAGACAAACATATTAATATAATCGAATTAACAAAACCAATATGATTTTAATTTCATATACAAATCAACTATCATTATACATGTCATATAAAAATAAGTAAAAGAATATCATAAATCATTCGAATCAATTGCACCTGAATAAAGTATTTTCTTTTGTTACCATACATTTATATTATCAACACTTATAGAAAATATTTTACTAGGTTAATCTTATATAAAGTATTTTACTAGGTTAATCGTTAAAATTTTTGAATATAAATACATGTAAAAGAATATCAAAAATCATTTGAATCAATTGCACATGTACAAAGATGGAGCTCTGTTTGCGCTGAAAGGAGTCTCAACCCTTGTAAAAAATTTATATATTCGATAGTTTTTGATCTAATAGTATTTTAGTTAATGTAAAAAGTATTCAAATTAATATAAATACAATAATTTATTAAATATTTAATCAAATACTAAAAAAGGATAATCTCATGTTCTTAATTTTTTTTGTTTAATAACAATATAGGTCGTTGTAAGTTTAAATATTAGACAAATTAGATATTATCTTATGAATTTTGAGTTTAAATACCTAATAAATCATTTTATTTTTCTTAAAAGATTTAATATTTTTACCTCTATCAATATTTAATCATCAAAACACTCTCCTCAAACTTTAACGCATCGTATAATAAAGCAACTTATAAAAAAACATGGCCCTTCTAAATGGAATAGGTAATTGCCAAATCTACGACAATTGATCCCATCCTTCCCATTTTCATTAGATATTAGTGCAATATAGGCTGTTTGGGTAGTAAATAAACCATGGCCAGTATGCTTCCAAATATAAGAGTCATGCATATATATATATCCGAAAATTTCGGAATAGGGTATCCCATTATAATATTCGCTACATCCATGGGAAGTAGAGCAGATATTTTTTCTATATCCCACTTCTTATCTGATGTTATGAGATCACAGACCTTGCTCTTCCACAAAGTCAGGCGAAACGTCTTGAAAATGACAAACTGATTGCCCCCACCCAATTGCCCGTCCAAAAAAATAACTAGACAATGACATAATTAGACACAACTTGTCGTACAAAAATAACGTTATTTTTATAATTATAATCATACTATTTAAATCGTTTAATTATATTCGTATTATTTAAATCACAAGGTAAGACAAATATGTTCGTATTATCGAATTAACAAAATCAATATGATTTTAATTTCATATGCAACTCAACTGTCTTTAAACATATCATATTTTTTATTCTTATATATGTACTAATACCAAAAGTTCTTTTATTACTATACATTTATATTATTAACACTTATATAAAGTGTTTTCAAGGTTAACCGTTGAAAATTTTGAATATAAAGATAAGTAAAAGAATGTCATAAATTATTTGAATCAATTGCACATGTATCATAAATTTTAAAGCACTCTCCTCAAACCTTAACACATCTTAGAATAAAGTAACTTATAAAACACATTTTTTATTTTTAAATTCATATTTTTATGATTTTATATTAAGAATATTAAAATATAAAAAAATATTATTATATTTTCAGTTGAAAAATTAACTGATAAACAACATGAAATTTAAATTGATATGAGATGATCGATTTCAATAAGTACTTTCAAAATCTATAATTTAGTATAAATTGATTGACTTTAGTGATAAAGAGACTTGTTGTTATCTCTTCAGGTCTCTGGTTCAAGCACAAAAAATATCGGGAGAATGAGTGTTTATTGTTAAATGATTGAGAGTCCTTGAACATATATTGCATTGTATTTATTCCATATTTATCAATTTAAGATTGCAATATTACCTTCTTCTTTTCAAATTTTTTAATAGTATTTATAATATTTCATTTTATTTTTTTATATGTAATTGTTTAAATATTGTCAAACTAAAATATTAGACTTTAAATTAATATTTTGATATTCCTAAATACATTTATTAATACAATAATAATTTGAATGTCTTTTTTAACACTGAAAACGAAAATTTGATGTTTGTGCCCTAAAGGCTGAACGTGAATGAAGAATTGTCTATGCATCCATCTCTCGGGGAGCTGAAGTTGAAAAAATGATACAGAAAAAAAGCAGTCCCTGAAATGAGCAGCAACAAATTGTCCATAGATTTATTGATTGCATTGCAAGTAGAGAGTGAGACCCTAAAGGGGCAAAAGAAAATAGTTTTTGTGTTGCACCATTTCTTAACAATAGCATAGTGAATATGATGAACCTAAACAAGTGTCTTCGGTCCTTAAATATATGTAATAAACATGAGCACAAATCACAGACTCAGAAGCACCACCAGTCATAAATATATATAATTCCCGCCCAAAAGCGGTTACAGAACCTAAAACTGAAACATTTCTTCCGTTTCTCTCCCAAGAAGTTCCACTTGTTTTCCTTCATTTACGATGCCAGTTCCTCGAAACTTCATTACATTTGGACAGGACAATCAATTTCTGTGCTGCATGATATGTAGAAACCACATTCTCAACATCACCAACCGTGGCTACACCATTGTATCAAATCTCTCTCCTCTCTCGAGATATATATGCATGTGTGAGAGATTAAAGAATTCTTGAAAACTTTGAAACAAATTTTCAGGTAAGCCTGTTTGTTGATGACCCGGAGTCACCTATTGGAGTAACAATGCTACTGGATGGAATTTTCTGCTACAGCCCGTAAGATATCTCTAACTCAATAACCCAAACTGTTTTCCAAAAAAGAGAGTATAATAATCAACTACAATTTAATCTTCGTGCTTCATTAATATATAGGGTCAATGTGCGGTACGATGATATAGCAAATGCTAGGTATGTCCATGGTCTGCCGGTGGTGGAAGTCCATTGCATGCGTTGCCCTTCTGTCCTTGGCGAGCAATATGTATGTTCTTTACATTTTCCTTTTGGTTATGCATTGATACCTTGGCAGTGGAGCTGATGTCTGTTCTATATATATATATATATGATATGTTTGTTTTGTTTTATTTTCAGATTTTGCGTGGTCAACCCGGGACTGTATCACCGAGTCCGTGGGAAGGACCGGTCATATTAAATCATACCGCATTGCTGTATTGGAATGGAAGTGGTTTCTTTTTTGCAGATGACGGCACACCTTTGGATGACTGAGACCTAGTAAACGGAATCTATGCCACTGGTTTTTAAAACAGTGAGTTTACTGCCAAAGGTAACTGATTCAAGTGAGAATCTTAGATGTGCTTTAAAACATAGTTTTACAGTCTGTTTAGAATTTAAATGCTCATATAAAAGTCAACATGAATTTGTCTGAACAAGTCCATATGTCGGACACATACTTATGTCCGAGACTCGCATCTTAAATAGAATAACATTGAAAAATTTAACCCATCCGTGTCCGAGACTCGCATCTTAGACAGAATAACATAGATGCACTATCAACATTAAGCAAAAAAGACCACACTCACATGCAGACAAAAAGAAGGTTGACAGAAGAAAGAGTATGGCACCTATATGCCTAATTAGATATTCTCTCGTTAGTGCAGTATGGAAATATGTCATGCTTTAGACAAACATGTTTTTGTTCACGCAAAACCTCTACTTACGATTCAAATTTATTTATCCTACTTTATTGTCAAATCCCAGCTGTTAATTTAGAGCTTTTATCTATATAGCTTGGACTCTTCATTTTGCTTGGAGTACTCATGTATGGCACATATTCGGACATGAGTACAGGGAAATGATCCTTCAAATATATAGAAAAACTTAGGAAATAATTGAATATACCGGTGTTGCACACATGCCAGTAGCCATCAGTCACACCATCAGACAATTTGAAATAAATAATACTAGCTTTTTATCATCATTCTTCCATGCCATCTTCCTCGTATTCTTCTTCGGTCAACTCGAGATCGGCAAATAATTCTTCCAACGGAACAAAAGGCACACCTTCACCATCGGATGCCATTTCCGATGGTTGATAATCTTCATTGTGATACAACGATAAGTTAAACCTCAGTTCAGGGTTCTCTTCTAGATCTCTCAAAAACTCTTCATACTCTACGTTCATCTTCTCCACGTTGGATCTGCCTCTGGATTCATCGAGTTCGATATTAAGGGACTTAAGCTTCCAAGGACGAGGCTTCCCGCGCTTCCTATGGGGTTTCTCTTCATAACTCTTCTTCATCAATATTACTTCAGGAAGTATGAAATCTCTATATTTGTCTACATCATCGTCATTCAAATTGACTCCATAAAGGTCATAACCGAGAGCACGATCTCCGGGCTTTAATATATGACCCAAATGAGTTCTTACGTAGAAGAGCTTCCCGTAATCAGTTACACGTGCCACCTCGACATCAGCTATAACATATTTGAAGCTGTCGACATTATATTCTGGAGAAACAATTTCGACATTGAAAACATCGTATTCAACTAGCTGCCTACTACTAAGTAGAGACTTAAAGGGATACCTCCAATACTGGTCCTTGTCCAAGAAACATTGCCTCAGAGTAAATGGATCGAGCAGAGTAATGTTGTTCGTCACTTTCGTGCAGATCACGAGTGGGCCGAGATTCCCCAAACTAACAGCAACTCTCGGAGGCAAACAGATTAAATCCTCACGACAAATCGGAGATATTTCAACCGAGAATGTGTACTTATAGTTATAAGTATTATTCTTAGTATCATGTGAAACAAGCCGCTCGGAACGTTTACTTTTATCTGTTGGAGATACTTCACCCAAAAATCCAACAAATTTCAAGGCATGACTCTTGTTTCCAAAGAAAAAATCGATACCCTGATCCCTCTGCTTGATTTTGATGGCATGAGCAGCAGCATCGTGCTTCAAAAGGACCTGCTCCAGATAAAAGAAAGTGCGACGGTGCAAAACACGCTGTCGCAGCTGCACAGAGGCCACCCACTGGTCCGGGTTGGCTTGAAATCGAGTACAAGATTCGCACATCTGATCTTGCTGAACATACTCGACGACATAAGATTGCTCTAGAATCACTCCATTAAGAACCTCTTTCTGAACTTTCAGCTTGACCTTGACTCTCTTAGAATGAGGCTCAGTCCAAATGAATTCAGCATTCACTAGCCTGACCTTTTTCAAATCAGTCTCAAGTCGTTTCACACAATATGTCAAAAGCTCCTTCGATTCCAGCTGAGCTTTTAACCAAGTTCTAGGTGGCTTCAAGTAGCTATCACACTCTGGGCAATGCACGATAGTGACATTCTTTCGTAAACCTTCGGTAATGTCAACTTCAGACCTCAAACATGTCACGCACATGTTTGCGGGATTCGGCGCCATCAAAATACGACATTTGCAACACAAGATAGTGCCTTGTGTCCGAGTAATCAAAAACATATTTGCAGACATAACTTCCTGTCCATGAAGAAGAGAACAAAAAGGAAGATAATGAGTATATAAAAGTTCAAAGCAATATAAATCAAAGGGCTGAAAAGACTAATAAAAGTCTTTTAGACATAAGCAAGTTATCCCTTAGCCTTATGTTGTTCCAACAACACAGTTGACTCAAAACCTGCTGTTTTTAACAAAATCCCAAGTCAAAACAAGAGAAAATCAGATTTTTTTTTTAAAAAAAAGCGTAAAATAAAGATAAAAATACAATGAAACCCCTAAAGTTAAACATATTATTCAACAAGAAACTCCCTATTGTTTTAGTAACCACTAACCACGTACATATTTACAGCCAGGAAGAAAGAAAAGCAAGTTCATATATATAACAGTTCAGAGCAACAGAAATTTAACGAATTTTTTCAAAAGAAAAAGAAAAATGAGACAGTATCAAGCAAAAGAACCGAAACAGGAGATCAAATATAACAAAACGAACCGTAACTCAAAATCTCATGATTTACGTATAAATCAATCATCAAGTTAAGTTTAGGATTTTAAAAATTTACCTGCAAAAAGAGAGCTTGTATGAGAGACTGGAGGCAGGCTTGTTTGGCGGGAGAAGTGTTTAAGGTAGACGACAGTCGGGAAGTAGTTTTTAAAGAAAAAAATTGTTTCAATATGCTAAAAGAGCTAAATTAGGGTTTTAACAAGAATAATTTTTTAACAGGAATTTGATATAACTTTTTTTAAAAGTGACTTTTAAATATAATGTCATTTTTATTAGTTTCTAAAACTACTTTTAAAAAATATTATCAAACGGACTCAAACTGATTGAACTACTATAACTTTTAATTTTTAATCAAACATATTAAAATATTTAATATAAAAATATATTTTATATAATTTTATCTATTTTAATATTAAATCTTAAAATTTAAAATCATAAAATTTAAACATCAAAATTATAAATAAAATAGATAATATTATGCAAATAAAACTTCACATATCTTTTATCACATAGGTCAATATAGGATTTGTGCTATTATTTTTATAGATATTATATGGTCATTAGTTTTACAATAATCTTATTCTATCAAATAAGGGATAATATAAGATATGATATGTTTAAAAAACTCAATATTTGATAATAAATACTTATAAACCCATACTTATGAAATGCTTGAAGACAGAACTCCAAGGGATAACAATTATCTTTCACTGAGGTTGTCTGGTTTATACATTTTACAATAATCTTTAATATAAATAATCTCTTATTTATTTTCTCATCATTTATTTTTGTCAAAAAATTAATAGAGAAATAACATAATATTTAATAAAATAATAAATTTGTTTCTTAATTTTTATATTTTATTTTAAAGTTAATACTAATTCTAAAAAAATCTTAACATCAATGACAACACTAACCACTTCACGAAACTTCGAAAACAAAATCTTGAACGACTTCTTCAATCCCATTACCTTCAAACTAGTGTAAGGTAACCTGGAAAGTGTGGCAAAACTAGTGTTCCCTTTGGAAGGTGACCTTTGTTTGTCCCGGCTTGTCTCGGCACTGTTCGAAATCTAATTTTCGCTTGGGAAAATCAACCGATTAGAAAAGCTCTTAAAGCCACCTGGAAATTAGCTCTTTTTGGTATAATTTGGAGTATTTGGTTATACAGAAATGGCCTGCTGTTTAATAAAAGCTGCTGTGAATTACATCTAATTGATCTGATAGGATTGGATTTTGATGCAACAGTAAGTGGCCCGCGTTGTATCCTTCTATTTCCAATTTCTCTAGATGTCTTTGCTTTCCTGTTTAATCATTGTGTATGGCTGGATTTGGCGTGATTTATTGCTGACTTTCTGTTGAAGTCTGGATTGTGTTGGTGCGTTGATGCGTGCATGTATATATTGTGTTTTGTTGTTGGAGAGATGATATAATTTGCTCATATTTCAGTGGAATAGTGCTCGGGAAAGTGATTGGAGCAGGGGGGTGTCCATGCTTTTGTATTTCTGTGTGCTTTTTTCAGCCTGAGTTGTGGAGGTTACTGCTTGAAAGGCTCTTTTGTGTTAATCACTGTTTTAAAGTGGCTTGGTCAGGTTCTTACCATTGATCAACTGTGGAAGTGTGTTACTGTCTGGTTTTGGCTATTCCATGTACTATTGCTACTTGTTTCTGCTGGCAGTTTAATTGAATTACGGATGCTTTTGGCTGCTGTGTTTTTGGTGCCGACTTAAGTGGTTCATCGTCCAGTCGTGTCGCCTGAAAGAGAGGATGGTCGCCAGTTGTGGTTCTCTCAGTCTGCTCCTTTGTGCAATGTGTTGCAGTGGTTAATTTGGGGCCTTTGTTCTTTTATATGTATGTGTTTTGCAGGTTTATTTCTTTTAACCGTTCATTACCTTTACAGATATGTACCGAACCAATTGAACCACTAATTCTATACTGAACCGATTCAACGAGTCAGTATGATCTATTTTTTTTTTTCACTGATTTTATTCTAGTCACTGTAGTTGGTAAAACTAGAAGAGACTGAACGTCCATAGAAGCACTGCTAAATGAAAAAACTGTCGTTGCATTTCTCGGGAAGCTGAAGTTGAAAAAATTATACAAAAAAAGTCCCTGAAATGAGCAGCAACAAATTGTCCATAGATTTATTGATTACATTGGAAGTAGAGAGTGATACCCTAAAGGGGCAAAATAAAATAGTTTGTGTTACACCATCACTCAGTGAATATGATGAACCCAAACAAGTGTCTTCGATCCTTAAATATGTATAATACGTATTTATCAAACATGAACACAAATCACAGATTCTGCAACTCAAGAGCACCACCAATAACCCCAACCCAAATCCAAATGACCAACGATTGTATGCACAACATAATTGCGGTAGACACCACTCGGCAACACCTCTGAAGCTCATCTTCAAAGTAACTGGGTTGAGCAAACTGCCGGCTGCTGACTTTTAACAGCAATATAGGCAGAGAGCATTGGGTAGTTAATAGGATAGTAAACCAAGTTTTTTTTCCTCCACCAATTCCTCAAGAAATAGCCTCAAAACCGATATTAACACATCTTATCTCCGTCCCAGGTATCCAATCAAGGCATTTTTACTCGCGAGTTTCACATGGTTTCCTCAATCTTCCTTGAAATCTGCAAAATCAATTTTAAGAACTTCTATTGAGATAAAAAGGAAAACATGAATGCATCTCTAAAACCCCCCACTAACTTCCAGCAAATATCAATGTGTGCACCAAATTCAGCCGTTACAAGGACATTCTACAGAGGCAAATATTTTTCAGCACTTAAAATAGAATGGCTTATATTGCATCTATTGAAACCAAGTGAATGCGGACAAATAAATTTCAGTGACCAATATTGTTATGGAACGGCTTACAATAGTTATTGTTACCAGGTGCTTAATGTATAAACACAAACAAGAGAGAGAGTGGGTATCTAAAAAAACACACAAACAAGAGAAAGAGGGTATCTAAAAAAACACAAGTCCACATGAACAAACACAAAAAGGAGAGGAGAGTACTTGGTGAATAATCAGAGAAAGTAACTGAGTGCGTACTCACTTGCTTAGCATCAAATACCCACTAGAAACCAAGGCCAGCCATGCTCCAACAAAAACTCAATACCGAAAATGTTTCAAAGATGGAGATGAATTTGGCAGCAAACAGATGCAATACAACGGGAATCATTCTCAACTCAAGAACCTCCAAAACAAAAGAAAGTTTAGATGGAAAAAAGATTTATGAAAAGATATTTAGCAACAAAAAATAAATTATAAAATCAGGAGGCACAAACCTAGTAAAAAAGTGAAGTTACCAGTTTGATCTCACACAAAGTAACGACCTGTCCAGACTGACTGTCCTTGATACTATTCGGGCTGTGCAGTAAACTGCTGGTTTCCATTCATGAGTTGCTGTTGCTGCAACTTCAGTTCTCGATTTTTCAGATGCTCAAGCATATGGTAATCCTGCCAACCTTTTTGCTTTTCCATTTGAAACTGCACTGCTGGACCCTGTTTGCCAGGGATAGGAAAATTTGCTGTTCCATTCATGCCATTGCTGCTGTGATTGACATACTGGGGTTCTGCATGAGCCGCATGATTGAGGGAATTATCAAGCCCAGAGTTTTTCAGTGATGATGTTAACTGATATCCATCCAACCAACTATAATCATCCATCAGGGGGTTCTCCAATTGTAAAGCAGAAACAGATTCACTCGGTAGTTTTGAAGGAACATGGCTAAAACCAGGTGGAGGACCAAGATGCCTAACTGGGCGGCTAACTGGATTCTTCCGCATTCCAACTTGCAAAGCAGAGGAAGTCTTAGAAGCCAAAGCATCAGCAGTAACTCCAGATGACACAACAGCATCAATTCTAGATGACAACACAGTATCTAGCACTTTCATTTGACTGTAGTACATACCGCCAGCACCAGTACCGACTGGTAATTTTTGGATACCAACTGAATATGCAGCGGGATTAGAAAGGACTGCATTATCTTGCATCTCATGTTTTGTTAAATGGCCATTCTCCAACATTGTCAAACCTTTCAAGCTATTAACCAAAGAAGTAGCTTCTTCCACTGACCACCTAGATGATTGCAACTGAACAGCCTGTGGAATCCGAGGGGTGATACTACCAACGGATACAGACAGTGGAGAACTAGCCTCAAATGTATTATGCTGATGAAGATTAGCAAGAGGAGCAGACATGGCACTGCCATAAAATTTGGCATCATCAGCAGAGCTACTTTGAACAAGCTTCAAAGCGTCAGAGGGTGGCCGGTTAGGACCAATCAGTTTGTTTCTCTTCTCGCTCACAGCTGGCTGGAAAACAATCACTTCATCATCATCGTCCTCTTCCTCAACCATTCTAGGTTGTGGGATTGACTTCATATTTGCAACATTAATCATCCTTTCAGAAGAGGTTTCATGCCCCACACCAATTGTTGCCAGTTTTGTAGAAGAGCTGAATGTGACATCTTCAGAAGTCTCAACACCAATAAGAAATTTCTTGCTTTTTGAATCAAAACAAACATTTTTCTGATAAACTCTAATGACATTAACTAGAGTCTTCCCAGCTGCTAATACTCTCTTGAGACGTGCTTTCTTTTCCTTGTCCCCGTCGCTTAAAAAGGAACATTTTCTTGAGAAGTCCAAAATAGCGTGTGCTGGAACAAGTGGCAAGAACCCTCGCAACTCAAAGTCTTCCCACAATGCAAGACGGTTTTCTGTCTCGCCTTCGATGTACCTGCTCATATTGAAAAAGCAGGTCTCATCTTCACCATCATCAATGCCCATTGGTGCAATCGACAAGATCTTATTCAGAAATGATAGGCATTGTTTCCAGAATAGTGATCTAGTAATAGATTGTTTCTCATCCACATCACTGCCAGCTACTGAAACATCTGGGCAGCAAGCAAGCCACTCTAAAAAAACAAGACTAGCAGGTAAGGTGTAGCTTGATGAAACATCCTGGAGCTGTGAACATCTCTGTACTACATGTCGCATCAACTCAAAAATGGCAGTGAATGCATTTTGAAGTAGGGCAGCACGCGGCACAATTTCAGTATATGTTTGACCATCACTCTCCCTTTTCAGATTGTGAACTGTAAATATGAGAATGGAAACAAGCCTAACAAGGAAAATTGCATTCTGAGCGGCATCTGCACCAAACTTAAGTTCCTCTTCTGGCCCAGAAGAGAGAAGCTCACATAAATCACTACTAACCAGAGAGAGAACATCGGCAAAAGTCTCCAGGCTGCACAAAGGAAGCTTCAATAAAAACACAAAGCCAGGAAACTTGGTCGATAACAAAAGAGAATAAATTTCTGAGAAAGTATACCTTGTGCGTGTAAAAAGAATGCCAATTAGACAGACAAATCGAATGCAGAAGGACTTAAAAGTATCCTGGAGACCAGATACTTTCTCCCTGGGGCTCGTTTCCATGTTGTTATCTTTGGATGAAAGTTTTGCTTCCACTTTCTCTCTACCTTTTCCTGATAACCGTACAGCAGGCTCCTTGACCAAGGGAGCTTTAACATCACCAGGAAGTTGCGAGTAATTATGATGGTTCTGCAAATAAAAATGCACATATTTAACACAATTTCTATAGTCAAATACATATCCACATACTAACATAAAAATAATAAATCCACTCAAAACTCAGTTTTCAAGAAGGTGACATTTAACATACAAAAATCACACTCTTACCAGCAATTGCAGAAATCTTATGACATCAATAGTAAATTTCAAAGTTGTATTACCAATTAACATGTCAGAAACTGGACATGAAAAAAGGTGAAGTCTTTGCCATAGTTAAAAACCCTCCCAAAACCCCATAGTTGAAAATATAAAGTAACAGATTGACATATTTCACATTGTAGCTTTAGCTAATCTATACATAGCATTAATGAGCACCTTTGCAGAAAATCATCTGAGACATGGTGTGTTTATCTAAAATTTTCAAAAGACCTACAAATAATGCTTAAGAAAGTAAGACAAACATCAAAGTGTTCAACTAAGCCAGCGACTTCATGTCATAGATGCAAAAACATACATTAACCAATCATCCACAATACAGATCCACATGGCCAAAGAAAGGACAATTGCTACCTTAAATAAATAAAAAATAAACACGCATTTCAAAATATAAACTAAAATTTGAACTTATACCTTCTCAAAGGCCACAATCAAGTTATCTCTTGCAGTTGAAAAGGGATTATCCAGTGCCAAACTCCGGAAGTATCGATAAACAACCACCAGCTCATCTCCAGAATATGAAGCCAATATAGCTAGCTGAATAAGAAGATCATAGTCCATATTAGGAACCGGAATACAGTCGAACAGCTAAAATTCAAGGCAGGTGCAAAAAGATTACCGGGGCATAAAAGTTAAGGATAATCTATTAAAAGTTAAGGAAAATAAAGAAAAACCTGATGATGTGGATTCCCGCTTGATGGCAAAATTGATGCAGCTTGCAAGTAGTAACTTGAAGCTGCTGCATACTCGCGTGATTTAGAGTCTCCATCTCTATATAATCCTTTGTACCGTGCTAGGTCTCCCAAGTATATCAAACAACGGTGACAAGACACCAAACCTTTTCTCATGTCAGTAGATTTCTTTCCATCTTTATCCATAACAATTTGGCTTTCTGAATCATCAGAAAAGTAGCCAAATGGAAGTCCATATTTTGCTCTTATTTTCAAAATTAGATCATGATAAAATCCTGTTGCCTCTGAAAGGAAAGTCTTAAACTGCAATCTTATCTTTGTAAGTCGGTCAGGTCGTGGAGGAACTTTCACACCCTGAGACGTGTTTGATCCTGCAGAAGCTAGCGCAGCACTATAATGTGCTAGTAGTTCCTCAATCCGCTTGTAATGTAACTGCCACAAAGCATATTCAATATTTTTCTGCTCAGAAAAAGCATGATCCTCAAGAATTATAGCCTCGTAATTCTCACGCATCTGCTGCCAGGCATTGGGATCTAAAGGCACTCGTGCCTGAGCTGATCTCCTACGATTATTTTCCAACTCTATGTTCTGCAGAGTGTACCAAATAACATCATGAAAAAAATCTATAAAATGGAACCTCATTTCTAAAGAATAGAACATATACCTTATCATAAAGACGCTGTGCACGTTTCCTGGATGATGGAGCAGACACTTTATCCATCTCAACTATCATCATCCATCCGAAGTATTTTGTTAAAATTCATTCAATCTGCACAGTGCACACATCGCCAGCAATTCAAACTAAGCCATATATTATAGGATAAACAAAATTCAATTAATTGCAATAAGTTATAATGATAGGTGGCTGGGAAAGAAGCTGGTCTTCCAAAATTGAGTAAGTTACTAAATTCATTAAACTGCAACACCAATAAAACAGATAAAATTAAAGCAGATTATCAGATCAACGATAGGTTAAATTTCTAAGAGCCAGGATATTAATAAGAAGAGAGTAACAGTTCGTCTCAAACAATAAGGCACCTATTAAACCATTCGACTTATTGAAAAACAACTGACCAATATTGATAAAATCATCAAAGAATTTAGAGTAAACTCTCACGAAACATAACAATGCTCTAGAAAGTGCAATTAAGAACTATAAACCAGGATGTCTTCTTTGAATAAACCAGAAAGGGCTTCAGCCTCAATGGAAGCTTCATTCAGTCCAAAAACATCACACAAAAAAAATTAAATCCTTCCAAAACCATGTGTTGCTTATCCTCTCATGACCAGTTAAAGATTGTTCAAAATTTATTACAAAATCTATGATAATGCTGGAGCTTCTTCCAAATGACAATAACATCCTAAAACCAATATTAGCCCAAGCCTAATATACTAAAAACACAATAGCAAACCCAGACATTGCTTCTGTTCTTCAAAATAGCTAGCAAACCCACACATTTTACAAATCAGTAAAGGAAAATATCCAAACACTTACTTAAAACCGAACAATTTAAAAGCCTCAAAAGCATAGTATTTCTAATAATTGAAGTTCCCCTAGTATCGAGAAAACAAAGGAAAATCATGTCCTCTCTCATCATCCCAAATCAATTTATGAGGTAACTAACGGGAAAGCAAAGGAAAAAATAGTTCATTTCGATTGTGTTACATTTACATTGTTTTGGTCTTCCTTCCATTCTATCTCGAAGAGAAAAAAACCCACACAAAATTACATTAATTATTAAATTCCATAACCAAAGAGAGGGGGGAAATAATCAGAGCTGGTCACAAAACAAGATGGTTACGAAAATTACATCATCAATTCGCCAAAGCCGCCAGAAAAAAAAGGAAACCGAATAAGATAATATAAAAACCAAAATCAAGTCAGAAATAAATAAAGAAAATAAAAGAAAAAGGGAACTCACCAGAGGTGGATCGGATCGGAAGAGAAACCTCAAACTAAATCATCGCCAATAGAATTAAGGAGGAATAAAAGAAGTGTTGATTAGGGTTTGGTCGTTGAAAAGAGAGAGAAAGAAGAAGAAGAAGAAGAAGAGAGATACCGTTTTGATTTTGGTCTAATTTGGGATGAGGTTAGAATTTCAACAATTTCAATTTTTTATATATCATATTTTTCTTTCTTTATTTCTTGATCAGCAGTTGACGGCTTGGAGCGGTGATACCCAAACGGCACCGTTTCTGTTACTTTTTTTTTCCTTATTAAGAAAATTATTTCATTACCCTTTTAACAGCTTCGTTTATCATTCTAGAGAGGAGTGGACTTGACGCGCTAGGAAATCGCATTCTCAACCTTACTCGATACCAGTTTGGAAAACCATGTAGAATCTTATCAAATTAAACATATAAACTATCAGTTAAATTAATAAGATAAAATGATAATTTTTAAAACAAAAATAAATTTATTATTTAATGTTCCCTTTCTTAATTAAATAAATTTATATATATCATATATAAAAAATTACGAATCAAAATCAGTTAAAGAAGCCTACTAATCTTTACCACATTATGAGTATTTGACACGCGGGTTGCTATTGATTAGTCAAGCATTGGTAATACCGTAATAGCCACTCCAATCCTATAAATTTTACACCGGTGGTTCCATTTGTGTTGTGACACGCTAATGTAATAATCATAGCCATCCCTTTTGTTTTCCGTTTTATTTCAACGGTCAACGATTTCATGTTTTTCGCGAAAAATTTATCATCATCATCACTCATTTGTTAGGTAGGCCATCAACCCTCGTTTTAATGATATATTTGAAAAGATTACTTACGGAACATATTTTGATGATAAATACAGGTTAAGATCGTGTAATGTAATTTGAGAATTTATAGAAAATTATTTGAATAAAATAAAACTTAAGAAAGTCTTTTGATTTATATAATGATTATTTTATTTTTCATTTTTCTAAAAATTTAGTTATCTTTTTTTAATTAATTGAATAGGTATCATATTTTCAAGACACATATCAAGATTTAAATCTATACAAGATAGAAAAATATAAACATATTTAATAACTCGATCCATTAATTATCTTTTTAATTTACCACTGATAATTTCAAGGAAGAAAGTTATTTCTTCAAAGAAATTAGGAGTCGTGGTTATTGACAAGACAACATGGAAAGTGAAGGGACGATGTGAAATTGATGTTAACCACGCTCGGGGAGAAAGGATCTCCATGTCGAAGTAGGAAAACAGACCCGCTGTAATGACCCACGACACTGAAAATGAAAGAATCAACAGCAAACTCTCCAAAAGTCTAGTCGAGACTAGAGAAAACCAAATTTTTTGCCCTACATAACATTCGAGCTTGATGCTACTGATGCCAAAGAAGTGAAATTCCAAACAAGCAAGCCAAGCTCGATCCTACAGGCTTCGGAGAAGAAAAATCCCAAACGAACAAGCCAATATACAACTCTGAATGGCCGAAATCCAATGAAAGGTTATCCCTAACACACAAATGGTTACAACTTCGAGAGATAAAAGGAGAGGCAGATCAGCAGATGCTGTCATGAATAGAGAAATAAAACAGGAAAGGCAGAAGGAAAGAAGGGAAACAGGGAAGGAGTACAGCCGAAGAGCCAGCAGACGACAGTCAACCTGAACTAGTGCCACCGCAGGCGAAAAAGAAGAGAAAAGGAGGCAGGGGAAATGCTGCATACTAGGAAAGGGAGATGAAAGCCGGGGTTCTTTTACTTCTCGTGCCAGAACTCAAGCACATTTAAGAACACAACATCCTCCATTTTAATCGGAGGTTTGGAAGTTTAGATTAGTTTAAGAAATGAACAGTATAACCCCCTCCCCCTTCAAAATATGCATTAAATGCAATCAATTAAAATATAACATGAAAATAATAAATGAATTTTCCATAAATTAAATTAAGTAATGCATTAAAAGGAGAGAATACTATATATTTTAGCAGTGCACACTGCACAGATGACCATACATTGGTCAACAATGTTCGTTCAAATAATACAACAAACCTCCAGTTCCAAGCTCCACCAACCATTGACAGTCTCACTGCTTCTCTTTACAATGTGTCTGACAAAATTATCAAAACATTACGGTTATAAATCCACCTTTTCTCTTATAACCCAACTAAAAAATTGAAAAACAAAATAAATAAACTTGTAAAGAGATAAAAGAAATACATTTATATGCAACAACATAGTATGTACAACAAGGCACAAAGACAACAATGTTCCGTCAGATTTCACTACACTCCCGCTTCTTTTTCGGGTTATGGTTAGTTCCATGGGGGTGATGGTCCTGATTTGTATACAAAATCCTGAGAGGATGTCCCATAGTTCAGATCAAGGTTGTGGAGTTGTTCCATTAATTGGGAACGCCTTTCCTTGAAGAAATCGAGATGAGTTGTTAATTCCACCAGAGCAGAAGATGCTGTCGATGAATGTCTCTGATAATCAGTCACCTGCAAATTAGAACGCCATTGATTTCAGAGTTGAATTAAGCTAATTCGTACAAGAATTAATCAGGTTTGAAGTGATTTAAGATTCGGATAATTAGATTCTGGCGGAAGACAGATCTTTCAACAGCCAAAACAATCGGTCTTACCTCGGCTGCTCTGGAAGTGGAAGGGATAGAGGCAGAGCTGACTGCACCAAGCTCATTCATAGACATATTTGCTGATCCCTCAATACTTTTTGGATCACTCAAGCTCGGTGAATCCATAAACTGCTTTCGAGTAGGCGGCCTGCTGATGTTGCCACCTGCCAATCCCTGTCCTTTAACATTTCTCCAGTCTGGCCCTAACAAGTTCTCCTGCATAATAGTTTTAATAAGAATACTTTGAGTGCATAAAGTGAGGACTGAGCAAAAATATCTGAAGGGAGAGAACTAAAACGGATGCATAATTGCTTGAGTTCAAATGTAAGAAGAGGATCAGTTTGGCGGGAACAAATGCAGAAAAACTTGTGTATTAACTGATCCGATCATCATAAATTTACTGCTACCTACAGTCATTATTTAAAAGAAATACACTGAACACATACCTCTGTTCTTTGTTTCCTCTCATGATTACAAAAGGCAAGGGTTGTGTCAAAATCCTGCTGAAGAAACCTCCTGCAAGCATACCAAATATAACATTTTACCATTTGGGAGACAAATTTCAGACATCTATATTTTTCGATTTAAGGTAGTTAAAAAAAGCCCGGTAAAAAAGTGCATAAAAATGATGAAAACAATGAATAAATATTTGATAATTATAAATCCTTCAAAAGCATCCTATTACATGTAATAAATTTCATTCCAAGACATTAAAAACTGTTCATAAACATGTAGCAAAAGTTCGGCCCTCGGTAGACTTTGGTTGTAGAGTTATTGTAAATTAAGTAGTGATTTCCCATCCAAACCTTGAACCCTGTCCTTTTTAGCAGAAAATTTCGGCATTAATGATTTAGAAGCTACTAAAAAGATGGGTTTCCTCCCATACTCCACTTAAGAGCCAGCAATAGAGAAACCTGTTTTCAAGCATATTGCAAGAATTTCATCTTCTTAAGGGCTTGAATTCTATGTTACTCCAAGACTTCATTTTTCTTGAAACACCCGTGTCCGAAACATACAAGGTTATGATGATATGATCCTCCAAGAACCCCCCAAATACATGGAAATCTTGGAAGAAGTTGAATCAATGTCGGACACATACCCATGTCCAACACTACACTAGGATCCGAGTAATATAGCTTGATTTCACCTTGATAACTAAAAAGCTTCAAAAGAGTATTCGAAAAATATTTGTCGATCACCTGAAGGAAGCCCAAGTCTTGAGTTACCATATTATCTGAACAGTAACTGTGGGCTATGGCATACATGCATGACAACAGAAAAGAACAATATTCATGCATGTTATATTTTGGCTAAAATGATCATTTTAGGGTTCCAGAATGTTCCAGAGAAAGCTTGAAAGAAACTTCTGACACATGGAATCAACAGAAAGGAAAAAAGCCAGATGATGGTTTCGTGTGCCAATACGCAAAAAGATAAAAATGCATCAGAAAAAGGTAATTTGAAAGCTTAAACTAGTATTGAAACGATTCATTTTATTTGGTTCCTTGAGAACAATCATCATGACCTCGTTTTAATCGGCTGTGCAACTGCCTAATCAGTTTACTAGCTTAGACATGTTGAAACCAGTATGGAAAAGAATTCCATCAACTCACTGCTGAGAGTTCAGATTTTGGACATGTTGATAACGATCACATGCATCAGAGAGAGACCCGTAGTGGTGTTGCCGCTGCTGATTCAACTGATGATGGAGTTCAGCAACTTTTTGCTTCAATCTAGCCACATCAGCTTCAGCAAGAGCAATTTCCTCAAGCTCGGCCCTCGTCTTGGAATCCATTTCGTGGGAACTAGAAAATTGTCCAGATGACATACTCGATCCAACTTCTAGTGCTACTCTAAGATCCCGTTCAGCTTGTAACTGCTCTTGTAATCTAGAGACCTACAGAGTCATTTAAAGGTAAGTAGGAACACAACTGCAGGAAGATAATTCTTCAATAAAAGGTTAAATGAAAATTGTCCAGATGTTTCCTGTTAGAGTTTTGGCATAACTCATAATTCAGCAGGGATCAAAATTATGACCTCCCGTAGTTGTTCTATAGTCTGCAAAAGTTGCACAAAAGTTCAGCTCTGCAAAATTTTGTGTATAACTATTCAATGACATGTGCAAGCCACAAAGAAGATGCTTTAGAACTGCAAGAGACTGTTGGATTGTAGTTTCAAGAAAATTTTAAAACCTTTTTTTTTGTCAAACATGCCCAAGAAAGTTCAGAAACCAAAATCTTCAACATCAAATTGAAGAGTAAAACTAAATAGAATAATCAGACGCAGGCAGCCTAAGAAAGGCACAGTTGTGGTTTTGGTTATAGGAATAAATTTAGAATTAAAGGACGGATCCTTCCTTTTGCTAACTTTATTCCTCATTACATTAAAGAACAACCAATAAAATGTATAGAAACGAACCCAAGTAAACCATGTACAGGCATTTGAGGCTGATGTAAAATAAATAAATAAATAAATAAAAGAGGGAATAAGAGTCGGTAAGAAAGAAATACATCTTGTTCAAGTGCCAAACGACGTTCGTGCAGAGCTTGTTTTCTTCTTTCCAAGCTAGCTTGTAAAATTGCATTTCCTCTAGCCTACAACAAGTAATGAGCAATCCGTCAGCAGAAACAAAAAATATTTCGCCACTTGGGCCTGATTTCAGGAAAGTAGAGCTACCTCTTTTGCTATACGATGTTGCAGGTCATTCTTTGTAATCTCAAGCCTCTGTATAGCAAGCCTAGAAAAATTGAACAAATTGATTATGCAAATGTGACAGACATGAGATCAGAGCTATATTTTTTTTTTGATAGGAATAAAAGGCCTCAAAAACCCCCTTGGTGGTTAACGGAACTTAAAAATAGTTCCTTGACCCACACAAGGAGGAAAGGAGTGCCCTAGGATTCAATAAATTCAAATAAAACAAAGTATACAACCCATCTCCCTCAAGAGAGATAAAACCAAAAAGAAACAGCCCTTAACAGAGCATAATTCACCCAATACCCGCCTTAGCTAGGACATCCGCCTCTATATTGGCTGTCCTACTAACCCACCTAATAAAAACCTTCAAAAACACTAATCTTTTGAATAATGTCTTTAACTATTTGAACATAAACAACAGGACAAGAGACCACATCCTTAATCCAGTCAACTGCCACCTGACTATCACTCTCAATAATCAGTCTATCTTTAACCCTATGACGAATAGATTCAAAAAAATCTAAACCCTTTAGGATAGCCTTCAATTCCATTAAAGTTGGGGGCCCCGGACCAGCCGGCTCTTTGAAGGAACCAAGAATCGAACTAGACATGTCTTTCAAAATACCACCTAAGCCACTCCTCTTCCAATCACTCGAGGTAGCCGCATCCACATTAAGTTTAACAAAACCTTTTGGAGGTGGGGACCAAGGAAACACGGTTGAAACCCGATAAGAATGGGATGAGTAGGAATCCACTATGGACGGGTCAGCAATAATATCATCCTTGGAAATACTAACATGAGTTTCCTTAGCTAGAAACCATGAAGCAAGCCTGCACCTTGCAAGAAAGAAAATCTCTGCTCGATCAAGCTTCCCTCCTTCAAACACAATAAAATTCCTGGTCTTCCAAATTGTCCATAGAACAGCTCCAGGAATGAATGGCCAGATAAGAGAGTTGGACTTCAAGTCATTCCAAGCCAATAGGAATCTTTTAGCCTCTGTATGAAAAACCGATTGAAAATTCCAATATCCCAAGAATTTCATCCAAATTGGCCAAACAAACGAACATGAAAAAATAAATGCGATGAAGACTCTTCTTCAAGATTACAGAAAGAACACAAAGTATCATTTATGCCCTGAACACCTCTCTTAACCAGAGCTGTCTTGACCGCCAACTTCTTTAATATAACTTGCCAAAGAAAAGTCTCAACTCTTGGAGGCAACAGACCCCTCCAAACATTAGACTTCCAAATTTAGCTTCCTCTGAATCGGGAGAACCCGAATAAGATAGGTTGACACATGATTTCACTGTATAAACCCCTTCCCCATTCCCCTTCCAAACAATCCATCAGTGGCATCAGCAGAAATAGAGAAATCAGAGATCACAACCATCAAATTTGCCCATTGCTCAAATTCCCAGTCATTCAACTCTCTCCTCAACTGAACGTTCCAAATCCAACCCCTTGAACTGAACTCCCCAAACTGAGTTAATCTTCCTTCTTTATTTACTGCAATAGAAAATATTCTAGGGAACAATACCATCAACGGATGATCCATAGTCCAATTGTCTTGCCAAAACCGAATGCTCCTCCCATTGCCAATTTTAAAGCTATATTTACCTCTGATACTACAGCCCAACGAATCAGCATTATAATGGTTTCTCACCATATCTCTCCACATCCAGGATAGTTTAGGAGAGACTTTACTGTCAAACTGCATCAAGGAAGGATCCAATTTATATTTGATGCAGAGCAATTCCCTCCAAACCGCCTCCCTCTCAATAGCAAACCTCCAAGCCCATTTTTCCATGAGTGCCCTATTCACCACCTTTAATTAGGAACCCCCAATCCTCCTTCAATTTTAGGTTTACAAACATCGGACCAGCTTACCCAATGTATCCTCTTTCTCCCATCACCACCTCCCCACAAAAAATTTGACATGATAGAATTTAGAGTCTTGTAAACTGATGCTGGAACCTTGAACATTGACAAAAAGTAAATAGGGAGTGAGCATAGCACTGATTTAATTAGAACTAGCCTGCCTGCCAGTGACAGAGAGGAGCCTTTCCATCCCGCCAGCCTCTTATTAAAGCTTTGAACCACTGGATCCCATAGAATGTTGGAGTTCCTATGTGGACCTAGAGGGAGTCCCAAATATTCTGAGGGAAAAGAGCCCACTGAACATCCAATCATAGATGCCCAACCCTTAATTCCTCTTCCTTTAAGTTCACTCCAAATAATTTACACTTCTTTAAATTCACTGTAGACCAGAAATAATCTCAAACACCCGAAGAACCCTCTTTACATTCAAGATCTGTTTTTCCGACGCCCCACAGAACATAATAAGGTCGTCAGCAAATTGCAAATGGGTTAAATTAAAATTCCTCTCCTCCTTTCTAATGACCAGACCCGAAAAGAGCCCTCGTGAAACAGCCTTCGCTATTAATAGATTCAATAGTTCCCCAACTATATTGAACAACAATGGAGACAAGGAACAGCCCTGCCGAAGACCCCTCGCCATAGGAATTTCCTCAGTTGGGACTCCGTTCACCAAACTGAAACAGTCGCTGAAGTGACACATTTCGAAATCCAACCTATCCATCTAGAACCAAAGCCCATTTCCTTCATTATTCTGAACAAAATAGGCCAGTCAAGAGTATCATATGCCTTCTTGAAATCAGCCTTAAAAACACACCCTTTCAAACCATTCTTCCTCCAAAAGTCAATCCCTTCATTTGCTATAAGAGAACAGTCCAGGATTTGCCGACCGGGGATAAAAGCGAATTGACTTGGACTGATCAAATCTGAAATGCAGCTCCTAAGTCTTCTTGACAGACATTTCGATAGTATCTTATACAATCCACCAACAAGGCTAATAGGTCTAAAATCGTCCAGTCCACCAATGTTAGAAATCTTAGGAATAAGAGTGATGAAAGTGTGATTTACACCATGTTCCCATTCCTTCCCCAAGTAAAAATCATGAAAGAATTTCATAATATCTACCTTCAGGACCTGCCAAAACCTCTTAAAAAATCCCAATTAAAGCCATCAGGACCCGGAGCTTTGTTGCTGCCACAAGATTTCACCACTTCCCACACTTCCTCCTCAGAAAACTCCTGTTCTAAGAACTGCTTCTGCTCCAAAAAAATTCTGGGAAAATCCAGATTCAAATCATCAAGCTCTAAAGTAGTTCGTTCATTATAGATCTTAAAAAAATACTCTTTAACTATGGCCTTAATTGCCTTTGGGTCTTCCACTGTTTCCCCTTTGAAGTTTAAAGCAAGTAGAGCATTCCTTTTATTCCTAATCGTAGCACAAGTGTGGAAGTATTTAGTATTGCGATCCCCATCAACAATCCATTTAGTTCTCGAGTACTGAAACCAGATCTGCTCCTGAATCCTGTAAAGCTTCCACAATTCTGCTCTTAGATTCTTCAATTCAACTAATACCTCACTGTCAACCGTTCCTTGCTTCTGTTGAATATCATCCTCTATCAACGAAATTTTCTTCTCTAACTCAGAATCAAAGCACCTGGATATTTCACTCTGTTCCCAGACCACTTCTTAATTGCATGTTTGGTGTTCCTCATCAGACTAAAAACGCCTGCCTCGTTCTGACTACCCTTACCACTCTGAAAAGAAGAAACAACCAGATCCTCAAAACCCTCCTCATCCATCAAATAATTGAATAATCTAAAGGGTTTTCTGCCCCAG